CATTATCTAAGTTGTTGGCAGTACCATATCTGAACACAGATATGTTGCCAAAATCTCAGGCTAAGTCCTTAATTATTTCCAGAAATGTTTGTAATTTTGACCGTGTAATGTGTAAACAGCTTGTATTATTACAAAAAATGAACAAGTATTTAAACTGGCTAACAAGAACCGTCACCAACAAGAACCAACTGTCTTCTTGACTGCCCCAGTCATGACTTGAGGGAGAGTATATGACACCATACTTTGGAATGGAATACTAAACTGTATATATGTTAGCCAATAAGTGGCACTGTCACATATATTATTTAAGACACTCTCAGCCATACTTAGCAGAGCATTAGAGGAACTTATAGTGAACAACTGGTATGTCCTTTTCTGAGAAGAAAGCTCTGTGGCTACTTCATGTCTAGTATAGAAACATGACCTGCTAGTAGCAGCCCTGCAACCTACCATATAAAGAAATACATGATGTGGTGTCAGAAGTAAACTAGTGCCACTGGAGAACAGAAGCAGAAGGAACAAAAGCAACGGAGGTTGCAGACTGGAAAAAGCAACAAAGGTTGCAGGACCTCCCAACATATCACTCTTCAATGCATGAGAGAGCTTCACACTGGACTGACTGGAAGCAGTGGTTTGTATGATTTTGAGTTGTTATAAAACTCTATAAGGAAAATGAATACACATGGGTATGCTCCTGAATTTATGCTATTAGGAAGCAGGCACAGCATATCTTTAAATCCTTTGCCTTTACTGCAGACAGTCACAAAGATTATTATGAAAGTGCTCTGGCTATGTTTGATGCATACTTTGTCTCAGAAACAAGTGGTTTAAGAAGCAGCATGTTTTTCATGAGAGATTTCAATGACTGAGAGGAAGGCTGAATATTTTGAAGGAGTTCTGCATGCATTTGATGGAAACTGAAGTTTTCACAGCAAGTACTTTTTAAAACAGACTGAATTATACACACAGCTATTCAAATAGCAAAACAGCCTGAGCTGCTGAGACAGCAAAACCAAGAGTAACTTATCAAACTTGAAAAACAAGAAACTGGATGCTGTTAACAGCTGCAGTATGATTGCTACAAGTTATTACCATAAGAGTTCTGAGGCAACGAGAAGGAACTCCCAGGCTAAGAGGGACAGATTCTACTTAAACACCAAAGTGTTATAGTCAAAATGTGTAAAATGTAAAAAAATAAAAATAAAAAAATAATATCACAAGAGATGAGGCATGTCCAGTCAAAGATGCAAGATATAATAAATGTGTAAAATAGGGATATTTGCAACAATTTGCCACTCCAAACCTATCAAGGAGCTGATTCATATTACACACAATAAAGAGACATTGTTTCTGAGGATCTATCATGTGTGATGACTAACACTATTATTTGGTCATAGACAGACCATGAGCAATCAAGAAAAATGCTTGGCAGTCTATTATCTGTCCATAACACTTACTAACAATATCCATGACAAAATGGGGAGTTCAGCTAATGGGTCTGCACACTGCCCTGAAGTGGCGAAGCAGCTGCAAGGGCCCATTCAGAGCTGTGGTGTCCCCCACTGCCTCTGGGGGCTGGGAGTGCCAGAATCCCCCAATAAGTTATGGTAGCTCAGAGATCAGGGCTCCTCCCACCACCCACAGTGGCTGAGAATTTTGGGGCTACTCTGTGGGCAGCAGAGGGACCCTGCAGCTCCCAGTCACCATGGGCTAAAGTCACAGAGGTCACTGGAAGTCACGGATTTTGTGATTTCTGTGACCTTGGTGAAAAACCGTAGCCTTACTAATGGCAAAAAGCCTGTCTAGAGAGTAAAGCTGAATATTAATGGAACGATTTTAAAATTGACTCAGAAGCAGATGGCGGAATTAGCTCAGAAGGGACTTACAATCACGTTCTAACCTCCTGGAGCTGAAGTACCTTGACACATTCTGATTAGTCCTGAATGTATTTGAACTTCTTGGGTGATTTCACCACAGAAACAATAGCTTTGCATTCAGAGTGCATGTGATCAAAGAGTATATTTATTTCAGATTCTCAAGAAAGAGGGTGCTCACAAGAAGGTGGGCAGTGTTGCTCCCTGTCACAGTGCCAGGACAGCTGGTGCAAGCAGTGATAGCTGTTAGCACCTCCCTGCAGGACCTCTGCCCAAGAGTTGGGATGGGTGGGATTTGGCCGCTGTGGCTTCCAAGGGAGTGGTCCATTCAGCTGCAGGTAGAGGTCAGAGTGCAATCAGGAAACAGACTAACTGAGGCTTTTTCTGAGCCGCAGCGTGTCTGCTTTGCAAAAGACCTAGGCATTTCATGTTATTTGAAAAGCCACCTAGACAGAGGATAGAGGCTCAACAAAGAAGCTGTGTCCAGGAAAAAGCCCAGACATATAGTAATCCTATCAAAGACCAACAACTTCAAGCAGGGTGTGCATGATGGGTCTAGTGAAAAAGGTAAAAGAACTTGACAGAGAATTTGAAGATATTGGACTTTTGAAAGGATATTCAGTACAAATAAACTTGAGAGACAATGCCAAATGATATGCTTTACAATCACCTCTTTCAGACAGACTTTGGCAGAGACTAGTTCCATGTTATTGCTAATTCCGAGGACATCATTACTTGATCATACTGGTCTATTTTTCAAGTGCATAGAATTAATGAACCTGATGCATGATGCAGCGTTATTAAGAAATGCAAGTGCTTCACTGTTCCAAAATAACTAGAGACAGACAATGGACAACAATCTAGTGCAGTAGAATTTAAGTTGTTCCAAACTAAATATGATTTTGATTATATTACTCACAGCTGACATTACCCAAGTGAATGAAGAGGCTGGGAGAATTGTAGAGACAGTTAAGAAAATCTTAAAGCTGGAAGCACCATTTCTTTCTCTTCTGAGTTATCAATAAGAAGCTAAAGCAGTGACTGGATCTAGTTCTGCACCACTTCTGATGGGAAGGTGACTCAGTACTACTCTTCCAACTTTGGAAGAGACTCTGTCTTCAGAGGGGCCAGACATGAAGAGATTTGCCAAACTGAATAAAAATGGGGAGGATAATGAATACCTTTACAATGGGCAGCACTCAGAGAACTGCCAAAACTAGAACGTGGGGACTGAGTGCACATCCAGTTGGAAGGAGAAAAACTCCAGCTGTAATAAAAAAAAATCAGTGCCCAGATCATATATGATGGCGGCTAATAGTGGAGAGTTCATCAGAAACAGTTGACATCTACAGTTTGTTGAGAGAAATTTTACAGTTGGCAGACATTAAAACAAGATCAATTGAGTCACAAAATCCAAACTGAACATACTCAGTTGTTGCAGCCAGATGACAAAGTTTCTATGCATTCAGGTCATGTAATTAGAAAATCACTACAATTCAGAGGCATTTAACAGAATGATCCATACTGAACTTTAAAGATAGCATGAGAGTGTAAATCTTGTAAATGGTAGGAATGTAGAATTTAATGGGGAGAGATAATGGAATGTTAATCTGATCTATCACTAGGTGGTGCAGCATATACTATGCTTTTTTTAAGACATACCTCACTATGGGTATGTCTAGACTACAAGCCTCTTTCAAAAGAGGCTTCTTTGAAAGAATCTTTTGAAAAAGCCTCTTTCGAAAGAGAGCGTCTAGACTGCAACCACTTCTTTTGAAAAAACAAGCTGCTTTTTCAAAAGAGAGCACCCAGGCAGTCTGGACGCTCTCTTTCGAAAAAGCCCTGTTTGCATTCAAAAACGCATTTTTTTGAAAGAGCACTTTTGAAAAAAGGCATTCTTCCTCGTAAAATGAGGTTTACCGTGGTCGAAAAAACCGCCGTGTTCTTTTGATTTAATTTTGAAAGAACATGGTGGCAGTCTAGACACGGGACGTTTTTTCAAAAAAGGGTCACTTTTTTTGAAAAAAAAACCCCAACCCTGTAGTCTAGACACACCCTATGGATGCGCCTGCACAGTGGAGCTTAACTCAAATTAAGCCTCACAAATTGAGCTCCATGAATTGCATAGCTTATTTTGAAACTGGGAGCGTCTACACCGCACTTATTTCAAAATAGAGCTCTCTTCTTCCAACTTCCCTTACTCCTCATTGACGGTTACAGGAGTCGGAGTAAGAAGTCCTCCAGCTTGATAGTATTTTGACATTATTTTGAAATAACTGCCTACTGTGTAGAGGATGACTAAGTTATTTTGAAATAATGCTAGTTCTTTCAAAATAATGTTGCTGTGTAGACGTACCCTGTAAGAAGGAAGCTCTGTGGCTGCTTCATATCTGATACAGAAACATGACCTACTTGTACCAGCCCTGCAACTTACTGTGTACAAGAAATATGACATGCTAAGGTGAAAAGCATATGTAATTTCCAACATATTTCATTTTCACCTCTCTGAATCTTGGGAATGTAATTCTGGCAGCAGAGAACTCAGTGTGTGAAGTATGTGAACTGACAATGGAGGTTTTACACTACTGCTGGAGCAGTTTATTCTAAGGAGTCATCCTAAAAAAATTATTAGACTGTGTATAAGACACTACGTTTGTAGAAAATATCCAAGCATGTAGAAACCTTCCCTGGTCTCACAGCAAAGAGCTAATTTGTCTGGCAGTCACTCTTCCATACCTGTTAGAAAGTCAGGTAGAAAAATATTGCAGACTAGCTACAGATTTCATTACAGCCCTTCACCCAGAGGGACTCATAGGTGTGGCGTTGTAAGGGGCTGCCAAACAGATGGGTCACGAAATACGCAGCCCATCTGTCTTTATTATGTTCATTTCCTCTTTTATTAAAATGTTAATGAATACAGTTTTTATTTATTACACAGTGACAAGTGGAGCATCCCTTTCCAGTAGGCAAATGTGCAATCTACATAATCACGGGGGTAGACAAGAAGGTTTCTTTCTTTACTCTGAGGAAAGAAGTTGAGAAGCATAGTGCATTTGTAAACATTCTCATTTTTAAGGGCTGTTAACAAGCACCTCAATATTATTAACGTGTGTATTCCTTCACCAGACTCTCCCTGGAAGGTACATCTATCAAATGTTGACCCTAAGAATACCAGTGTCACTGTGAGTGGATTAACTCCAGCCCGTACCTACCAGTTTAGGATATGTGCTGTTAACCAAGTGGGCAAGGGTCAGTACAGCACTGAGACCAGCAGGTAAAGTCAAAATGGATCCCTATCTAAAATGTGCAGTATGTGCTATAACCCCATATCTGTTAGATGCTCAGAATTGTGAAAATGAAATTACCTTTTATACCACAGCACTCATGTGAGCACTCAGCACTCACCAATGGTTACATGACCTGCCTAAGAACACTAAACAGTATTTAGCTATCCTGGCAGTTAGCAGCAACAGCGCATTCTGCATGCATTGAACAGAGGCGCATCCATCTTTGCAGAGTAACAGTAAAATTAGATTATAGAAGGAGATGAAGTGAATGCATATAGGGGAAAAATATTTGTTCCCATTGTCTTAGGCTTTGTCTACACTGGCAGTTCAGTGACAAAACTTATGTTGCTCACAGGTGCTTCACCCTACCTCCGCCCCTCTCAAATGACAGAAACATTGCCATAGCAAGCAGTAGTGTAAACAGTGCTTTGTCGGCAGCTGCACAAAGAAAACGCTGCTTGTAGGGGGATAGAAGTTTACCTGACTTTTAGTGATATGGCTGTTGTCAACACAGCTAAAAAGCTGTGTAGTATAGACATACCCTAAGACTCACGGGTTATTTTTGGAATGGGCAGAGCACTCACCCAATCATTGCATGTCATTTCTGTAATTACTCCACATGCACTAGAAAAGGATGGCTTTATCAAATGTAGTTTTGAATACATTCCCCTTCCTCTGTAAACCAAAGCTTACAATGAGCTTGTATTGTAAAACAGCTGAGCTTTTAACGGCTTTTTTCAAAATGGAGGAGTTTGAGATGAAAAATACTGAAAGAGTCAAAAGAGACAATTTGGAAGGAATCACAGTTTCCGGATCTGAGCTCTAACTTATTCAGGCTTGTAATCTTTTTATATAGTTGCAGCAGCATGGGGGATTCAGACAGAATAAGGTTATCTCAGCTGTCCTTCTTGCTCGCTTTACTGATTTCTATTATGTTGATTCGTTGTAACTATTTCATGCAAGTTGTCAGTAGTTTGATCAGCATTATGCTTTTTCTTTCTAGTCTTTGGACTTCAGTAAATAAAGCTGGTTCACATTTAATGGGCACATAAAATAAAAAGCTATAGCTTTCTTTTTATTCCAATGCTCACAACCCATCACGTTTCATTGTGCTTAGATTGTTGTTACCTGAAGAACCTCCCAGCGCTCCTCCTAAAAACATAGTAGCCAGTGGACGTACCAATCAGTCTATTATGGTTCAGTGGCAGCCTCCTCCTGAAAGTGAACATAATGGGGTTCTCCATGGATACATTCTCAGGTAAGTGATTTCTGCTCTAGCTTAGAAGGATCCTAATATAAAAGCTGGTGCTAAATGTCTTCTTGTGTTAGAGGTGGACGTCCTAGTGGTGTGACCCAAATAAAAAAGTGTTTTTAAAACTCAGTTTCAAATTCTGTTCTAATTTATTGTTACTTATTATTTGCACACTGCCGTACATGCGCATAGTTTTTCGCAGATAGATAAGACTACCTACCCCATGGTGCTTATAATTTGTCAGACATATCACACAAGTGGAACAATTACATTTAGGGTTCTGGGAGAACAAAGATACTGCCAATAAAGTAGAGAGGAGAAATGACAGAGCAGATGAGCCGTATCCAGATTATGGTTTCGAATTGAAAGTAAAATTAAATAAATAATATTGCTGCAGTTCAGATATACCAATTTAATGAAAAGGGACTTCAAACAGGTAACTGAAAAACTGTTATTTTATCCAATCTTTCTGCTTATTTGTGGAGTGGGTGTGGTTCCTGAAACAGGACATGGCCAAATAGAGAGACTTCTCATAGCACATTTGTTTTCTAGTCTCTTTGGGATCCAGTAACCAGTCCAGCTGGACTCCAGGATAGTATGTTTCCCACTTGGCTCCTTAACTGTCCTTGCAGTGACAGCAGGAAGTTGTGGCATTCACTCTGCTCCGGAAGACCTTGTCTACATTTGATTCATTTCTGGGAAAATCTCCCAGTGTTATATAGCTACTGATGTAGCTCAATGCAAGGTTGGAGCCCCAGTTTAGACTGAATATAAGTGGCTGATGACATTTTTACCAGTGTCCTCTAGACCTGCTAAAGGATAAGGTGGAAAAAAATGCAAATGTCCTGTTTACACTATTGTTACCACTTTGCTACCATGGATGGAGCTGCTTTGGTGGTATTGCTGAGAGTGGAAATTTCCCACTAAAGCCTGCTGCTGAAGAATGTTAACTATCTCCCTGCCACCCAAACAATGAGGCCCATATGACCAGTCACAGAGGAAACGACCTTGTGATTTATATAACTCTTGGCTGTATGCTTGTACTACAGCCTTCTCTCCTGACAGTTTTCCAAATGCCAATTTTATTAAAAATATTTTTTTAAAGTAGGGAAAAGATGTATACACAACATATACCATATTTGGCAAGCACTCGCTATGGTAACCTTTCTCCTTCTGTACTTTCCTGATCACCCCTTTTCTTTAGTTATCTTTTTCTGTGTTATATCTATTTTACAGATTACGTGCTCCCCTGGGCAGGGATTTGTCTGCAGCAACTATGGTGTCATGCTCTTCTAAGGGTCCATTTATAAATCACAAATGGTAACTGTAGGCAATGCTGTTTGCACACCATCAATCTTGGCCAGTTTACTGCATTTCTTGGTGAAAGCTTGTGAACCAAAATTGCAGGATGCCAAAGACTGCTGAAGCTTTGTGTTCAGA